CACGTCCAATGTCTCGACATTGCACTCATTCTAGTGGTCTCTGACATTAAAGCAGCATTGGTGGTGAAGGTACCAACAAAAAAGCCCATGCAGAAACCAATGAGTAATCTAAGTTAGACCTTATAGTTCGAAAATTTATCCCATCATGCCAATACTGCTATGAAACAAGTAAAATAAAGACATCAAAGCAGGTTCACTATGTTTATTCAGCTTAAACTGGCTGACAGATTCATAAAGGCGGTGTTTTCAACCATATGGATGCAAATAGATGGAAAGAGAGAGAAAGCAAATACTATTAAACATGCAAACAGTGACTGTGTCACCAGCTTTATCCCTGATGAGACAGATGAAAGACTGAGGGGAGAGTTTGTACACATGTACATACAGAAATGTACAAAGAAACACGCATGTGGTGATTCATACTGGTAAACTGGACCCCCACAAACCAGCTTAACCAGTCCTTTGGTGCCATTCTGTATAGATAGAGCATTCATCACTGCTCATGTTCATCTATGTATGCGCACCTGTCCACTTCACAAATATTCAAATTATGATGGAAACCTTTCTTTATTTGCATCGATCAGTACTAGCTTATCTTGTGCATAGTCACAGGGGGCTGGAGCCTAGCCTAGCTAACATTGGGCATGAGGCCAATGAATTCATTCTTAATTGTATTTCATTTGTTTCTTAGTAGTGCCATATTATATTGTATGATTGACATTTTTTAATGTTCTTTTGACACCAATCCTGCTTGATCATAAAGGTCATATAATTTATTTTGCTGTCTTCTTGTGAAATGAAATTTGAAACCTGAGTAAATGAGCAGTGCTTTCACTCAGTCAAGTTCAAAAGCCTGAGTGCGGCTTTTTGCAAACACAACGGCTGAGAAACAGCCATCAGCAATGATAGAACTGCCCAATACTCCTTTGCCAGCAACAGCATATACAGCCACATGAAAAGTATGTGAACCCTTTGGAATTACCAGGATTTCTGCATAAATTGGTCATAAAATGTGATCTGATCTTCATCTAAGTCACAACAATAGAAAACACAGTCTACTTAAACTAATACCATACAAACAATGTTTTTCATGTTTTTATTGAACACACCATGTAAATATTTGTGAAGGGTGTAAAAAGTGTAAGCCCCTAGGCTAATGACTTCTCACAAAGCCAATTGGAGTCAGCCAACCTGTAATCCAAACAATCAGAGGGGACTGGAGTTGTTGGTTAGAGCTGTCCCTTATAAATAAAACACACCACTTTTAATTTTGCTTTTCTCATGTAGCCTTTCCTGAACCATGCCTCGTACTAAAGAACTCTCAGAAGACCAAACGAATTGTTGACTTGCATGAAGCTGGAAAGAGTTACAAAAGTATTTCTAAAAGCCTTGATGTTCATTAGTTCACAAAGTGTCAAACAAAAAAAAACACAGAAATCTCTGGAACATGCAAATATCTGACTCTGACTCTACAATATGTAAAACACTAAACAAGAATGGAGGTCATGGGAAAACACCACAAAGGAAGCCACTGCAATCCAAAAAAACATTGCTGCATGCCAGATGTTTGCAAAAGAGCACCTGGATGTCCCACAGCACTAGTAGCAAAATATTCTGAGGACAGATGAAACCAAAGCTAAGTTGTTTAGAATGATCACACAACCTTATGTTTGGAGGGAAACCAACAGCACACCAACATCAAAACCTCATCCCAACTGTGAAGTACGGTGGAGGGGGAATCATGGTTGGGGGCTGATTCACTGCCTCAAGGGGCTGGAAGGGTTGCTATCATCAGACAGAAAAATGTATTCCAAATGTTATCAAGAAATTTTGCAGGCGAATGTAAGGCCAACTGTCCCCTAATTGAAGCTCAACAGAAGATGGGCAATGCAAAAGGACAACGACTCAAAGCACAGAAGTAAAGATGAGGTGAAGCGACCGTTGACAGTGAGCTCTGCCCAGGATGAGTTTTCACAGGGCAATTGGCTCCTTTTTGTGGGCTTGGTGGGATGGCCTTAGCGCATTGATACTAAAGCAAAGAGAGATGCTGAAGGTTTTGCATTGTATGTTTAAGTGTTATGGAATGCAGCTTTAAGTGAACAATGGGAGCTGGCTCCTGTCTGACGATTTTGGCACTTTTCAACAGGGCAAAATTCTTGTTTATTATTTTTTATTTAACCTTTATTTTAACAATAAAATCCCATTGACTCACAGTCTCTTTTGGAAGGGAGTCCTGTATAGCACAAGTAAAACAACAATTAATCATACCATTTTAGTTGAAATATACTGTATGTGTTGGTACAGACTACTTAATTTTTTAACCATACTTTCATTAGTATGGTATTATTTTTGTTAAGACTCCCACTGTTTTGTCATGCTGGCAGATTTTAATCTCCGTGCTATCTTTCAGAGCCATCTTCCTTCCTGGCTGAGAGCTAAAGCTAGGTTAATGCTTGACGCAGAGACCTCAAAGTGAGGGTCCATGTGCCAAAAATGACTTTACTGTGTCTTTCGTTTGGTCCTCTGAATTTTAGTAACCAGGCGAACACTGTGCTTTTCATTTCAACATGGCTGTCTTCAAAGGTAGGAGGAGGTAGAAGGAGAGACCACAGGTACAGCCCAATGACTCTTGATTCATGGAGAGACACCACACAGGCATTTCATTTAATTTTTTATGAGGCAGAGCTATGGCCATGTTGGATAATGACCTTCTTCCTATAACATGTCGTTGACATCTTGCTTATTCATAGAATTTTTTTTTTGTACACCGCCTGGTGTTTCAGAGATTACTGCATTGCCACTGTGCATGCTCATAGTTCGTAGGCCATCTGCGCAGGCCCACATCACAGTGTCTTGCGTGAGAATAAACATATATCAGACCCTTCTTTCCTTCAATCTGTGCTTGACTGTAATTGTTTTTCCAAATAGTTCCGCCTTAGCCTTTGTGCCTTGCATCGAGTGTTATGCTGTAATTTTTGGTCCCTGCCTGCTACTGACCAAAGTAATGCTTTGAAGAGATACTGCCTTGTCTTGTGTGTTTTTCTGCATTGGGTCCGCATTCTCTGCCACTGTTACAGTTGTGTGTGCGCTGTCCCTGTAAACATTTTACAAACCACAGTGTTACTACATACATACTCCAAAGTCCTCCAAAACAAACTGTAGTCTACAAAATAGACTACAGACAAAAGAAAACAACGCACATTTAAAAAATACTTGTCAAACTGTTTGTTTAAATGAATGTCCCGCCTACAGCTGGACAGATAGCCCATCATAGATTAGGATAATGTGGCAATTCAGCAGTGGCCTATGCCAGGCCATGAATAATGGGATATGTATGAGAAAGAAACTGAAAATCTTCCGATTACAGTAAGAAACTCACTCACTTAACATGACACAGTAACAATATACATACACATCTATATATACATAAGACATTCACTTGTTATCCTGTTTCTTATTCACCACTCAGATGTATTTCATTCTGGTAACTGTAATAATCTGTTAATCAGGCTAAAATCAGTCAAGCTGACTTTAACAAGGCCATGGAGGGGCTGGATAGGAACCCTGATGAAGAGATCAGCTTCAGAGAGTTTTCTGTGTGTGGATTTCACTGACAAAAGCTACTACCACAAGAAGACATGCAAGTGCCTGTGAAGACAAACGTTGGTACACTGATTATCAAAACTGAAAACACATATACAAAAATAAATCGTAAATACTATCAACAATATGTACAAAGCTAACTGTTAAAAGTTAAGTAACTAACTCAAGGATGAAATAGCACTGTAAGGTAATCACTAAGGTTGGAGGCGAAGGTAACATAACTGTAGAGTTGACAGGAAGTAAACAGATATACGTCGCACTACATTGTGCAAGTAGAGAATTGGGTTGTTGAACACGATTCCTTCAATAGCACACAGCTCACAGGAGAAATGTTAGGTTCAAACAACAGAATGTGTCAATTCCACTTCTCAGTTGACATAAATAAATTCTTAATTTGAATTCAAGTGGATTTTATCCACTCCAAAACATGTTAACTTACTCACACTTCAGCAGTCTAAAGGCGCTGCTGTGGCTGCAGAAGCAAGCTATTCCAAAAGCAGTGTAAGCATAAAATAACCCTAATGCCTATTCTACTCCGCAAAGACACATTATTAATCCAGAAGACCAGAAGAGACTACGCACAAGTAAATGAAGTGAATGCATGCTGTAGTACAGTATGTCTCTGTGTCAATTGTAAATGTCCCCCTGCTTCTTAGAACAAGTTAGGTAATGTCATGAAGGTAAGTCTGTATTGATGGAGTCATAAATGAAAATGATGTTCATCTTCTTCTTTAATCATTGCTAAGACTATACTGTATTGCAAAAAAAGTCTATCTTCAGAGTATGTAGTAACCCTGCCGACTGTCATTGTAAAACATTGTTACATATCTGAGAACAGCTACAGATTCAGCTTGTCTAATTATGTTGAGCAATTCCTCCCACCAGAAGGATCACCTGACCACACCCCAGACAGGGGGAAGAAAACGCCTTACCCTGGAGGCAAGAGGCTATACAAGTGAGACCTTTCATTTAATTCCCAGCTGCTTGATGTGTGTAAAAAAAAAAAGGGGAGGAAAGAGAGGGGTGGACTTAAAAGAAACATACAAGTCGTCTATGTCTTATGACTGTACAATTATACGAGTCATCTTGTATTTCTCAAGTGATTAATTCCACTAAGGTAATGCCATGAATGGCATTAAATATACATTTTCAACACAAAATACTTTTCTTACAAACATGAGGTTATATCTATAAATCAGAAATAGTCAAGTCAACAACTACACAACAGTGTTGTGGTGGCAGCCCGGCTGACAGTGAGTGGCCTGTTTATTTCTCTCTTATTTTGCTTGTGATTCTGTTTTCCCCTGGTGTTTTGGCCTGCCTGTTTGTGTCTCCTCCTTTCCCCCTATGTGTGCTCTCCCTCTCTCTCTCCCTCGCTCCTCTCCTGAGCCCAGCCAACGACCCGCACCTGCTTCTCGTCATCCACCTCCTCTGCCTGCCACACCTGCCATCAATCAACCTCATCTCTGACAGCACTTCTACCCCGGTTCTCCAGTCAACTCCTGCTTGATCATCGTTGCTCCTGACCCGGTGCCACTTCTTCACTTAAGCTCTGAGTATTCTGTGTAATTTCTGTTTTCCTGTACTCTGTTTCCCCAGTGTCTAAACCTGTCTGTCTGTCCGTCTCCCCTCCAGGTCCACTCACCTCCGTCCTCCGCTCCGTCAGCTGGGCTCGCCACCCTCCCCTCGGACCTCTTCCACGGTGCCCTCCCGGCTCCTCCCCGTGCCTCCTTGCTTCTCGGTCACCAGTGCCCCCGGCTCCCTTGTCTCAGTCTCCTCAGTTCCTCGTGCCCGTGTTTCCCCCGGCGTCCGCCTCTCCCTCACCTCCACTCCCTCAACCCTGTTTCCCCTTCAATAAAGCCTGTGTTTCCCGAGTGTTGCGTTTGGGTCCACTCTGTCCCCACACCACACCATAACAAACAGAAACCTCACAGGTACACTAGATTGCTGTTGCAAAGTCATACAAAGTGAAAAAATACCTCTAGAGCAGATTAGATAGATCAGATTTCTATTTTTAATTAACATCTACAAGCGGGCAATGAGATTTCTGAAACTCTCTAAACCTAATAGCTTCAGACAGAACAGAGCCCTGGCAGCTTATGTTACTTTTTATGAATGGCGCATTGTTGGAGTTACAGTTTGCTGTACATGTAGGATAGGATATTTAATAATATACTGCAAACAATCCAATTACCAACAGTTTGTTTTAAAAGAGCATATTGTCGTTGTATGAGAACGGCTTCAGCATAAGCAGCAACAATACAACTGACAAAGCACAGAAACAATGGAAACCAGATCCAGTAAAGCACAGAGAAAGAAACAGAAAATGAGTCATACCCAAAGCAAACTCAGAGTTTTTTGTGATGCACTCATATTTCCTGCTGTCTAATGGTAACTCATTTTAAACCAAGGTACGTGGTAGTGTGGTGTCCGAACAATAATGCTGCGATGATGTGTTGAGAAGAAATCCGCTTGACACTGTTCTTGATTATAAAAGTTTATTACATCAAAGAATTCAGCATCAATTACAAGCTCTGCAGCAGCTTGGAGAGTGACCCAGCCCGATAACCACTCTGTCTCTCTGTACATCGAACACAGCTTATATAGGACATGTTTAGGTATCTGCTAAATACCATATAAGGGCACAGTCCCTTCATAAACACTAATCTCTACTCCTCCTAACACTGGGTCAGAGGTCAAATTCCATAGGAGGGTTCACTCTTTACACACCCATCAATCATTACTTCCCCTTAAGGGTTCACTGTGCCTCTCTCCAGCTCTGGGTCTTATTTTAAACTGTAATGGTCAAATGCACATATGTTATACACCACAGTAGCAACAGCATTATGTTTCCCTAAAAAGCAAAAAATGGCCAAGAGAACTAAGCAGCGATTTTAATCTGTCATTCCTCTCCTGGAATACATTCAGCCAAACCATTGCTCATAAACTATAATTAACCCTTTCATGCATGAATTATGGCAGGCTCCGCAGGATTTTTCCCCCCCTGTGTTTTATTGCTCTTTATGGCATGCAAAATAAAATTAGAATGTCATTTTTTTAAAATCACATTTTTCTGTATTAAGTAAAGAAATATTTAACAAACCAATGAATAAATTGATATATTATGTGAAAACTATATTTTTAATGCTGTTAAACTAATGTGGTCACAAGGTGTACCCTGCCTTGTCTGATGTCTGTCCCCCGCGACCCTGTATGCAGGATAAGCGGTTGACGATGGATGGATGGAATTGTTCTGAATGTCTTTCTATTACTTGCTGCTTTTTTTTTTTTTTTTTACAAAACCTGCAAGTGTAACATAAATCCATTGATTTACATCCAAAAAAGTTAGTGCACATTAAGTATTTTCAAGAAAAACAAAGTCTCAGTAATAATTGATTGTAGTTGAAATATAGCCAGTGATGCATAATGTCCAATTTAGTGGACAGATGATTATTCGTAATTTCCTCCCAACATAAAATCAATACTTGGAAAATTTAACAATTGTATTACTCCTTAGTTTTTACTAGATGTTACCAATTTTTTTTAACTACAGGGGTCTCATATAACTGGAGGAATGGCAAGGTTTACCTGAGCTGCGCAGTGTTTCCGATCGTCCGTCGGCCATCTTGGTTTTGACGAATTTAAGTTGCACTTACAACGGCTTACCAGAGGGTAGCAGTGTATGGCATGACACATTAGTGTCCACTGTAGGGGCTGATGTGCAACTAGACTATCAGAACCTCTGCCCATTCAAGTAAATGGCCACATTAATTCAGAAAATCAGGAAGTGAATGATTTGTTCACAGCATGTATAGGGCCGAAGAATCCGGGACAGTCCCGAATTATGAGCAATTGTCCAGATCGCTTTCCGGTTTGTCCAGGTTATCTGTACATTGTGTCCACAGCGTTGTTATAGCCACAAGTAACGCTATTTCTGTGAGATCAGGTTGAAGTAACACTCGTCGTGGTTTTTACCCCTTTTTGTTTTCTTGTGGTTAGTGAAATTTACAGTCGCGAGGACAGGGAAAGTGTCGCTTCAGGCAGCCACGGCACGGCGGAGAGATCATTAAAACAGCTTGATAACAAAGTTAAACAAAATAAACAACAAACACTTGACAACAAAATGTCTCAATTTTTTTATTAGCACAAATTGAATAAGGTAAGACTTCACTGAGGCAAAATGGCCTCAGTATTTATTTCATAAGCACATTTTATTTAGATAATCATGGTGAGGGCTGCCACAAAAACGACATACTCTGTGTAATCCACAACGCCATCACTATCCACATCCAGACTTTTGAAGAACTCGTCCACTTCAGCTTTGCTTGGGGTCTAATGAATGAAGAACAGTAGAAGTTGTAACTAGATTATAAAACATTAAATTTAGCCTATGTCAAAGTGGCATTCACAGCCCTCTGTTGAAATAGTGCTCCATCTGTTCTACTTACTTTCCCCTCAAAAAACTCAGCCTTGAGCAGATCAGAGAGTTCTGCCTTGGTCAGCGTCGTTTTGTCTCCGTCTTTTTGTTTCCATTTTTTCATGCTGTACTGTCAATCTTTGGAGTATTTTCATATGCCATACATCAATACAATCCTTACAACCCTATGTATGTAATAAATTGCTAATAAATCAATAAATAGCTGAAAATTGCAATAAACACACAAAAAAATTCAAATCGTTTTTTTTATTTCCAATATATTTTTCAAAATACAGAAATATAACAAATGCCATCCTCAAACTTGTCAGTGTAAAAAAGTTCCATAAAATACTTTAGAACAACACACAATTGATTTGAACTATGTACATAAATTAGTTTGTAAGATACATTAATTTTTATAATCGATTTTTAGCTGTGTAGTGAAACAGATAATACATTTCTTTTGAGAGCAATGTTGATTACACAATTAAGTGTTAAAAAACAGAAGACCTTATCAAATCTTCAATTACACTACTCTGTATATTCAATAATACACTATGCACTACAATTAAGTGGTTGAAAAACTGTACATTATAGGAACTGAACATGCAAAAAGACTGTGATAACACTTGTTATTCTCCAACTCCAAAACAAACCATACATTCTGAATCTACACTTACGTGTCGTGTCCTGGGACAGATGAATTCTTCAAGAAAGCTGGCTTCATCATTATAAACAGAATCTGGAGCAGATAAGCAGCCGGAGAGTTTCTCTTCATCGGACGCGATTACTATAGCTCCACAAGCGTCCTAGTGTCCGGGCGTGTGTGTATGGTCGCATTGGTAAATGTGCGTGTCTGTGTGTGTGAAAGAGAGAAAGAAATAACCAAGGAAAATCTAATGATAATAAGTCGAATGCAGTAGAGTGGCTGGCTAATGGAAGTCAAATGTCGGTAGGGTTTAAAGGGTTAAACTAGTGTAGGAAAGCTAAATGTCATATTGACGGTCCATATAATGATCATGCAAACTTTTTATGTCACAAAGTAAGTTGTGGTGTCCGAACGATAATGCTGCGTGATGTGTTGAGAAGAAATCCGCTTGACACTGTTCTTGATTATAAAAGTTTATTACATCAAAGAATTCAGCATCAATTACAAGCTCTGCAGCAGCTTGGAGAGTGACCCAGCCCGATGACCACTCTGTCTCTCTGTACATCGAACACAGCTTATATAGGACATGTTTAGGTCTCTGCTAAAAACCATATAAGGGCACAGTCCCTTCATACACACTAACCTCTACTCCCCCTACCACTGGGTCAGAGGTCAAATTTCATAGAAGGGTTCACTCTTTGCACACCCATCAATCATTACTTCCCCTTAAGGGTTCACTGTGCCTCTCTCCAGCTCTGAGTCAGTGGTCAAGTTCTATAGGAGGGTTCACTGTCCCCAGCTACAGAGCATTATGTTAAACTGTAATGGTCAAATGCACATATGTTATACACCACAAAGTAATGGTGGCCAATATAATCTCCTTTCAGTTCACATGATAAGGGAACATCAAATACTATAAGAAAGAGAAGAACACGCCTTTTTTCCCTGATGTGCCTGCACCAAAAACTGTACAAAAAAAAGGCCTGCAGGCACCGCTCACCTTCGGCTGCGGTTCCAGGCATCCATTCATCTGCTGGTATCATTTAACACTTCTCTGTAGATTTTATTGGCTATTCACATAACCTTTCACTGATCAATCGCTGCGTTCCATCACATCAATTTAAGGCTTTTGTAATGCAGCGGTGATCAGCTCATTGTCTTGACGGAGCCTCCGACTGCTGTGGCTGCTTCATGTGTCGTTGGTTTGATCAGCTGGACCTGCAGCCTCTCTTGCAACTAATAATAATAATAATTTTATTTAACAGTTATTTGAAACAAGAAAAAGTAAAATAGATAACCTTGTCCATAAAAACAATAAAAATAGTAACAGGCTACCAATCAACTAATGGCTTCTGCAGGTGGCATTTTATACAAGGTATTGAATAAAGTGCGGGTATCTGTATCAGTTTAAGGGTAGCCTACTGGTTTTGGCACTGATATTGTAAAATTATAAAGGATACCAAACCCTAAGCATCATACAATTATATGCGTAGTTGCTCCTTGTATGTGGCTTCTCTTGGTAACCGTTAATGTCACAATGCTATGAACTGTGGGTAATTCCCTCAGGCATAGGCCAGGTGCGCAACAGGCTTTGAGGTAAGTTTTTTCCGTTTGGTGGGTGTGTCAGAGGTATTACTCAATCAGCAGCGATGTGTATAAACACTCCTGTATTAAAAAGGCAGTAAAGTGCTATGTGTTTGTGTGCATAACAGGGTGTTTAAGGTATCTCTGTTTCCATGAAAATACAGGTTTTTCTACATTTTTTTTCGGGCTGAACTCGGCCCTCGTGTCTGTCAAGTGAGAGCAAGGGGCTAAGTGAGAGTTCAGACATGGAAGCCGAACAAAGCCTGCATGGAGTGTCCCATGTAGGCCCCAAAATGACTTCACGACCCTGTGGCAGATGTGAAATGTAACTGTATTTTTTAGATAAGAAGCTCTCTAGGAATCTAAAAAAACTGTTCAGCCATCAGTGATGTTATGTTGGTTTTTGGCAAATGAGCTTGTAGGTGGGCTAATTAAAGTCAAAGTCAGACAAACACACTGAGCCAAAATACTTTTTTGTTGGCGCAGCCATGCAGTTACCAGAATTAAAAGTGTTTTTGTCATTGCTATATGTCATTAAACAGCGTTTTATGCTGCACAAGCACTCTGGGTTTTTTTAGTTTTTTTTTTAGCACAAATGAAATGAGGCAAGACAGGGAAAGGGGGTCAAAATTGTCACACTGCCTCCTGCACTTTGTATAATCTTTGACCCTGTGCCCAGTTTTAGTGTCCTTTGGAGACCCTGCTCTGTCCTGGAGTTGCTCTGTCTCGGAGAACGCCTGACTGGATATCTCCCCACCGCAGACGCTCTTCCCAGTCAGCCCTGTTACCCGTCCTGCTTGACTGCTCTATCCTGCCACGCCACACCGAAGGAACCCAACCCCCCGCACCAAGCCTATCCACCTTATCTTGTGCTCAATAAACGGAGTAAATATTCTTCAGAGCTGAGTTCTCGTCTGCATTTAGGTTCGCGCCACAAAATCCCTGCCAAAATATTTATTTTTAAGCACACATCATGGTGAAGGCTGCCACAAAAGTGACATACTCCAGCATACTTGTCAAAGGTAGTCATGAGGAGTGTCATTGCTTCTGCAAGCCCTGACATGGTGGCTGAAATGAGAAAATATTGTTGCCCAACACTGGGCAACAAACATTTTTAAATGTATTCAGTGTATTATTATGATATGATTAAGCACAGGTGGTGCAAAACAGAATCACATATCACATAATCCCTGCCTACTGCTTTTTAAATAACTTTTCATTTGTTTTATATGCATTTTTCCTGAATCCTTGGCAGCCTTGATTTACTGAATTCCTGTCAATTTCACCATTGTCACTATGACAATATTCTAATGAATATCCATGACTTGTAGGCACATGTTTTTTAACAACTCAAAAAAAAGTCTGTTTAATGTATTTATTACAGGGTAACTGTTGAATTCTGGACTACAGTCAAGTCAAGAGTCTTCCCCATGATTGTGGTTGTGTGTACTGAGCCAGACTGAGAGATTAAAGGCTCTTCTCAGGTCGACTTTTCTTTCTATACATTCTCTATTCTAATATTCTAATATTTTGAGATATGGGTTTTTGATTTCTATGAGCTGTAAGCCGTAATCATAAAGGTTAAAACAAAAATGGCCTGAAATATTTCACTTTATGTGTAATGAATCTAGAATATATGAAAGATTTATTTTTTTTAATTATGGGGAAAAGATTTAACTTTTTCACAATATTCTAATTCTCTGAGATGAATCAGCCCTGTACTACTAGGCTGATAAGGGGGAACTGGAACAGGTGAGGATGTGGCTTGGGGAGGTCAGATGACTGGGACTGGAAGCAAAAGGAGATATAACAGCAAAAGGGAGTGACTTGTTGGGGAGGGCATCTGGTGGACAGGAAGAGAATAGCAATGAATGGGTTTGAGGAAGTGGGAGCGTGGCAGGAGGGAGGGGCAGAGAGGCATAATGTGACAATAAAAGCAGAATGCTTGCACTAACTGTACCACTATACTTTATTGATTTATTATTTTGGTGGGAAATATGGCTTTTTGCACGACTACTTTTGTCTCTCAGATGTAGTTACAGTTAAAGATTTGACACAATAACCCAGAAGAAATTATACAGTGCCTTAGCTACAAGACCACGGGGAAATAAATGGCATGGACATTACAGAGTGAAAAATCACAAGGGGGCAGCATCGGAAAGGCTGAATGAAGCATCTGCAGTGGATAACAAAATGTTGAACATGCCACAATTACTGAAATCTTTACCAACATGTGCAGGAAGGTTGCTTTAAGATATCCCCTCTAAGCTTTTTTTAGACCATCTACAGATATAAAGCATCTTTGCCTCTCCCCCAGTGTTATTTCCTGTTCTATGTCTGAAGCACCCAAACAGTGACATAATAGTGAATGTTTAACTTTGGCCTGGTTTCCTGAATGATCAGCGAAAGAGAGCAAAATAAGAGAGACTGCCAGTTTAGTCAGTGTGTCATATGAAAAGGCAGAGTATGTTTTTGAGGGCATATCTGCATAATGGATGTGCAGAGAGAGTCAGATGCCAGAATTTGCGCAATATTTGTATTTAGTTTGGAAACACACACGAAACATTAATAAAATGTGACAACATTTTTTTCTTTATTAGTCACCTCTGACATTCAAAATCAGTGAAACATACATTCCCACAAGCCAACATAAAAACCAGGTTTTCCTCCTCAGAACATAATGATATGCATATTTCATAGATGTAATGCTGGTGCGAGTTGGAGCACTCAGTTTTTTTTATTTAGTACAAATTAAATAAGACAATAAAGATCTGAGGCAATGTGGCCAAAGTAATTATTTCTTATTGCAGATCACGGTGAGGGCTGCCACAAAAGTGACATACTCTGTGTAATCCACAACGCCATCACTATCCACGTCCAGACTTTTGAAGAACTCGTCCACTTCAGCTTTGCTTGGGGTCTAATGAATGAAGAACAGTAGAAGTTGTAACTAGATTATAAAACATTAAATTTAGCCTATGTCAAAGTGGCATTCACAGCCCTCTGTTGAAATAGTGCTCCATCTGTTCTACTTACTTTCCCCTCAAAAAACTCAGCCTTGAGCAGATCAGAGAGTTCTGCCTTGGTCAGCGTCGTTTTGTCTCCGTCTTTTCCAGCGTACTTGTCAAAGGTAGCCTTGACGATTGCCATTGCAGTAAAAAGTCCTGACATGGTGTCTGTAAGGAGACAATACTGTTAGCTATGTCCAGTCCAGTGTTCATTTATTTATTCATTTTGCATGGTTGTGGCAGTGCAATGAATTTTGTCATTTAGGCTGGAGGACTGGTTGTTGCTCCTGCCAACGGTAGGATTTAGGAAACACTCCTGTGGGTCAACGTATGTGGGTGAGGTTGGAGGACTTGTTGAAGTCTGTGTTACTGCCAAACACACTTCCACATTTGTCTTATGAATAGAACCGATTTTTTTTTTTATTACTCAGTGCAGTACAAATTCTTATTTTCCTTTCCTTCCAAGTCTTGCTCTTTTGTTGAATTGTCATATTTTTCGCATTGTCTCTTATTTCTACTGACCATTGGTTTTTTTAAAAAAAAGAAACATTTCAGTATAAGTATCAGTGGTGCAAAAGAGAAGCAAATTGGAAGGTTGCTGTGAGAGCAAAATCTGCCATCACTCAATTCAAGACGTCTAACGCCATTTTGGCTTTCAGGATTGTCTGCTTGCCAGCTCACTGGTTGTTTCTTCTCAATGTCTTTGGTTCGGCACCTTCATACACTGTCCTCACCCACTCATTTTCTGTTCCTCTCTGGTTTCCCAGGCTACTGCTTCTTAAACAACTTTTCATTTGTTTTATTTGGTTTTACGTTTAATACTTGGTAACTTTAATTCCAACCAATTTTCACAATTGATTATATAATTGAATTATCCATAATAATTTTCAAACTATGATAAAAAAGTTTATAATCTTACCATGAATTGACATGTTAATCCTATACAGAGGCAGCCCTCCACACAGCAACCCAGTTACACCCTGGAGCTTATTCATGCATCTTATGCCACATGGTGCTACTGTGCATTTTATGTGTCAACTATTTAGATAAATTAAATGTAAAATGGTTGATGCGGTATTTGATAAAGCATTTTTTAAAAATATTTCTACTTACAAAAATTGAATGTTGTGTAGGTCCAGAGAAATCAAGAGAGGGACTGTGAAGAGAACTTTCGCACAAACCTTTTTAAATAGAGGCTGACACACCTCAGTCCTAATCCATAATAATGTTGGAATGTACTCTTTCTTGTTTTCTGTTTGAAAGGCGTCCCCACCCATACCACTTAACCCTTTATGACCTGCCATAGAACAATTTCCGCCAGAGCATATCTAAGTATTTTTTCATGCTGTACTGTCAATCTTTGGAGTATTTTCATATGCCATACATCAATACAATCCTTACAACCCTATGTATGTAATAAATTGCTAATAAATCAATAAATAGCTGAAAATTGCAATAAACACACAAAAAAATTCAAATCGTTTTTTTTATTTCCAATATATTTTTCAAAATACAGAAATATAACAAATGCCATCCTCAAACTTGTCAGTGTAAAAAAGTTCCATAAAATACTTTAGAACAACACACAATTGATTTGAACTATGTACATAAATTAGTTTGTAAGATACATTAATTTTTATAAACGATTTTTAGCTGTGCAGTGAAACAGATAATACATTTCTTTTGAGAGCAATGTTGATTACACAATTAAGTGTTAAAAAACAGAAGACCTTATCAAATCTTCAATTACACTACTCTGTATATTCAATAATACACTATGCACTACAATTAAGTGGTTGAAAAACTGTACATTATAGGAACTGAACATGCAAAAAGACTGTGATAACACTTGTTATTCTCCAACTCCAAAACAAACCATACATTCTGAATCTACACTTACGTGTCGTGTCCTGGGACAGATGAATTCTTCAAGAAAGCTGGCTTCATCATTATAAACAGAATCTGGAGCAGATAAGCAGCCGGAGAGTTTCTCTTCGTCGGACGCGATTACTATAGCTCCACAAGCGTCCTAGTGTCCGGGCGTGTGTGTATGGTCGCATTGGTAAATGTGCGTGTCTGTGTGTGTGAAAGAGAGAAAGAAATAACCAAGGAAAATCTAATGATAATAAGTCGAATGCAGTAGAGTGGCTGGCTAATGGAAGTCAAATGTCGGTAGGGTTTAAAGGGTTAAACTAGTGTAGGAAAGCTAAATGTCATATTGACGGTCCATATAATGATCATGCAAACTTTTTATGTCACGAAGTAAGTAATGGTGGCCAATATAATCTCCTTTCAGTTCAAATGATAAGGGAACATCAAATACTATAAGAAAGAGAAGAACACGCCTTTTTTCCCTGATGTGCCTGCACCAAAAACTGTACAAAAAAAAGGCCTGCAGGCACCGCTCACCTTCGGCTGCGGTTCCAGGCATCCATTCATCTGCTGGTATCATTTAACACTTCTCTGTAGATTTTATTGGCTATTCACATAACCTTTCACTGATCAATCGCTGCGTTCCATCACATCAATTTAAGGCTTTTGTAATGCAGCGGTGATCAGCTCATTGTCTTGACGGAGCCTCCGAGTGCTGTGGCTGCTTCATGTGTCGTTGGTTTGATCAGCTGGACCTGCAGCCTCTCTTGCAACTAATAATAATAATAATTTTATTTAACAGTTATTTGAAACAAGAAAAAGTAAAATAGATAACCTTGTCCATAACAACAATAAAAATAGTAACAGGCTACCAATCAACTAATGGCTTCTGCAGGTGGCATTTTATACAAGGTATTGAATAAAGTGCGGGTATCTGTATCAGTTTAAGGGTAGCCTACTGGTTTTGGCACTGATATTGTAAAATTATAAAGGATACCAAACCCTAAGCATCATACAATTATATGCGTAGTTGCTCCTTGTATGTGGCTTCTCTTGGTAACCGTTAATGTCACAATGCTATGAACTGTGGGTAATTCCCTCAGGCATAGGCCAGGTGCGCAACAGGCTTTGAGGTAAGTTTTTTCCGTTTGGTGGGTGTGTCAGAGGTATTACTCAATCAGCAGCGATGTGTATAAACACTCCTGTATTAAAAAGGCAGTAAAGTGCTATGTGTTTGTGTGCATAACAGGGTGTTTAAGGCATCTCTGTTTCCATGAAAATACAGGTTTTTCTACATTTTTTTCGGGTTGAACTCGGCCCTGGTGTCTGTCAAGTGAGAGCAAGGGGCTAAGTGAGAGTTCAGACATGGAAGCCGAACAAAGCCTGCATGGAGTGTCCCATGTAGGCCCCAAAATGATTTCACGACCCTGTGGCAGATGTGAAATGTAACTGTATTTTTTAGATAAGAAGCTCTCTAGGAATCTAAAAAAACTGTTCAGCCATCAGTGATGTTATGTTGGTTTTTGGCAAATGAGCTTGTAGGTGGGCTAATTAAAGTCAAAGTCAGACAAACACACTGAGCCAAAATACTTTTTGTTGGCGCAGCCATGCAGTTACCAGAATTAAAAGTGTTTTTGTCATTGCTATATGTCATTAAACAGCATTTTATGCTGCACAAGCACTCTGGGTTTTTTTAGTTTTTTTTTAGCACAAATGAAATGAGGCAAGACAGGGAAAGGGGGTCAAAATTGTCACACTGCCTCCTGCACTTTGTATAATCTTTGACCCTGTGCCCAGTTTTAGTGTCCTTTGGAGACCCTGCTCTGTCCTGGAGTTGCTCTGTCTCGGAGAACGCCTGACTGGATATCTCCCCACCGCAGACGCTCTTCCCAGTCAGCCCTGTTACCCGTCCTGCTTGACTGCTCTATCCTGCCTCGCCACACCGGAGGAACCCAACCCCCCGCACCAAGCCTATCCACCTTATCTTGTGCTCAATAAACGGAGTAAATATTCTTCAGAGCTGAGTTCTCGTCTGCATTTAGGTTTGCGCCACAAAATCCCTGCCAAAATATTTATTTTTAAGCACACATCATGGTGAAGGCTGCCACAAAAGTGACATACTCCAGCATACTTGTCAAAGGTAGTCATGAGGAGTGTCATTGCTTCTGCAAGCCCTGACATGGTGGCTGAAATGAGAAAATATTGTTGCCCAACACTGGGCAACAAACATTTTTAAATGTATTCAGTGTATTATTATGATATGATTAAGTACAGGTGGTGCAAAACAGAATCACATATCACATAATCACGGTTTGGTGTGAGAGGAAAGTTTGTATTCTCTAAAACAATTCAAGGCATCCAACCTTGCAATCATGTCTTTCATGCTTGACTGCTTGCTGACTCACTTTACTGTTTGTTTCTTCTTAACTTTGGCACGGCACCTTCATACATGGTCCTCGGTTCCTTCTTGGTTTCCCTGCCTACTGCTTTTTAAATAACTTTTCATTTGTTTTATATGCGTTTTTCCTGAATCCTTGGCAGCCTTGATTTACTGAATTCCTGTCAATTTCACCATTGTCACTATGACAATATTCTAATGAATATCTGTTTAATGTATTTATTACAGGGTAACTGTTGAATTCTGGACTACAGTCAAGTCAAGAGTCTTCCCCATGATTGTGGTTGTGTGTACTGAGCCAGACTGAGAGATTAAAGGCTCTTCTCAGGTCGACTTTTCTTTCTATACATTCTCTATTCTAATATTCTAATATTTTGAGATATGGGTTTTTGATTTCTATGAGCTGTAAGCCGTAATCATAAAGGTTAAAACAAAAATGGCCTGAAATATTTCACTTTATGTGTAATGAATCTAGAATATATGAAAGATTTATTTTTTTTAATTATGGGGAAAAGATTTAACTTTTTCACAATATTCTAATTCTCTGAGATGAATCAGCCCTGTACTACTAGGCTGATAAGGGGAATTGGAACAGGTGAGGATGTGGCTTGGGGAGGTCAGATGACTGGGACTGGAAGCAAAAGGAGATATAACAGCAAAAGGGAGTGACTTGTTGGGGAGGGCATCTGGTGGACAGGAAGAGAATAGCAATGAATGGGTTTGAGGAAGTGGGAGCGTGGCAGGAGGGAGGGGCAGAGAGGCATAATGTGACAATAAAAGCAGAATGCTTGCACTAACTGTACCACTATACTTTATTTATTTATTATTTTGGTGGGAAATATGGCTTTTTGCACGACTACTTTTGTCTCTCAGATGTAGTTACAGTTAAAGATTTGACACAATAACCCAGAAGAAATTATACAGTGCCTTAGCTACAAGACCACGGGGAAATAAATGGCATGGACATTACAGAGTGAAAAATCACAAGGGGGCAGCATTGCAAAGGCTGAATGAAGCATCTGCAGTGGATAACAAAATGTTGAACATGCCACAATTACTGAAATCTTTACCAACATGTGCAGGAAGGTTGCTTTAAGATATCCCCTCTAAGCTTTTTTTAGACCATCTACAGATATAAAGCATCTTTGCCTCTCCCCCAGTGTTATTTCCTGTTCTATGTCTAAAGCACCCAAACAGTGACATAATAGTGAATGTTTAACTTTGGCCTGGTTTCCTGAATGATCAGCGAAAGAGAGCAAAATTAGAGAGACTGCCATTTTAGTCAGTGTGTCATATGAAAAGGCAGATTATGTTTTTAAGGGCATATCTGCATAATGGATGTGCAGAGAGAGTCAGATGCCTGAATTTGCGCAATATTTGTATTTAGTTTGGAAACACACACGAAACGTTAATAAAATGTGACAACATTTTTTTCTTTATTAGTCACCTCTGACATTCAAAATCAGTGAAACATACATTCCCACAAGCCAACATAAAAACCAGGTTTTCCTCCTCAGAACATAATGATATGCATATTTCATAGATGTAATGCTGGTGCGAGTTGGAGCACTCAGTTTTTTTTATTTAGTACAAATTAAATAAGACAATAAAGATCTGAGGCAATGTGGCCAAAGTAATTATTTCTGATTGCAGATCACGGTGAGGGCTGCCACAAAAGTGACATACTCCTGGAAATCAACGACACCATCCTTGTCGTTATCCAGCGCATTGAAGAATTTGTCCACTTCCTCTTTTTTTGCAGCCTACAGAAAGAAGAACAGTAGGAATTGTAAGTAGATTGTAAAACATCATAGATTATGTCCAAGCAGCATTCAAAGCCCTCTGTTGCAATATTGCTACATCTTTTCTACTTACTCCTCCTCCAAGACCCTCACTCTTGAGCAGATCAGAGAGTTCTGCCTTGGTCAAAGTGTCTTTGTCTCCTTCTTTTCCAGCGTACTTATCAAAGGTAGCCCTGAGGAGCGC